GTATGTGGCGGGAACTTTCACGAATCTACAAACGAGCGCGCACACTCAAGCACACAAGCACACACTTTGCCAGTTCAAAAATGTAATAGGGAAACAAATCCATACACGAGTATAATTATGACGATATCGCACAGATGTCCTCCTCCGACTAACATCGAAATAATATAGATCTAGAACTAATCTATAAAAGAAGCCGGTGACAATCGTTCCTGAAAACGATAACGACGATTATTATAATATTTACAATGTTTGCAATAAGCGAGAGTAGAAAAAATGCGAGCCGTTTCAATTTGCTGTCACGTTTAAAATTTTGTTTGGGTTTTTGTTTTTACTTTTCTTTTTTGCCCCTCTCTTTTTCTTTTGTGCCACGAAAAATAAAGTGGAAGATTATCTCACTTTAGGTATGTTATTTTCTTACCCTACGCTGGGCGTCTTCCGAATCATTCTCCATTGCTAAGCTACTTCACTTGCTTTTGACACTGATCAAAATCAAGTAGAGGCAAAGATTTACTTCATCGACGCCGAAAGCAAACCGACTGGCTTTTTAGAACTGTGTGTCAACAGTCAGGAAGTCAAGCATGTATAATAAACTCAAGCGTCAACTAAACTCGAGCTAAGAATATAAGAACACAATAAACGTCCCATAAATAAGTAAATCTTTGGCCTCATATCAACGGTATTGACAAAGGAGGGTTTTTTTAGAAAGCCTTCGTTCTGCTTAAGAAATCCACCCGCATTGGAGCAGACGCATTGACAAACCCACTTGGAGTTTTCCAGTGAAAAGAAAGGAAAATATCGACTTTCCTCGACGTGGTGCAAACAAAATATTGAACGTGTCAATGCTCACAACAAAACATTTCAAAAGAATGTGTCAAAAACCGAAATGTTGAATTGCGTTGGGGACATTTTTGTAATGTTAGGCAAGGAGAAAAAAAGAATACTCTCAATGAAGTCTCGTTGCTTTGTCAAAAGGGAATTGGCCTGTACATGCTCTACAAAAATGTCAAACACACTGAAGGGCAGTTGATCGAAGTTCACTTTTTTTTCTCAACTGTTGCAGGAGACGACATGTAATCCCCATACTGTTTATTTGTCCATACAATCAAAATGCAATAGGCCTTCGGGTAAACATCAAGGCACGAAATAAATCTTCAACGGATAAGTCAAAGTGTCATGCTAATTTTTTTTTTTTTTTTTTTCGTGGAACCTTTAAGATATTTGCCTGCGGCGATTTTTTAACACTAACATTTCAAAACAGAAATAGAAGATTTAAGTGAGTTCAATTTGCTGTTGTCGCTGGTGATGTTTTTCCCCCAGATGTTCGTTTGTTTTTGCTGTTATTTATTTTATTTTATTTTTGTTTTTTTGTTTTTTGGGGGGGTTGTTCATTTGTTTTCTTTAAGGCCGTATTTTGTTGTTGTTGTTGTTTTGTAGTTGTTGTTGTTTTTGTGGGGGGGTTTTGAGTGGTGGGTGCTTTCTGTTGTTGGTTTTTTTAATGTTTTCTACCGCTACTCCTTGGCTCCTTTTTACTGCTGTCTTTCAGCCACACCCTTGATCTTCTGGTAGGAAAGATCTACGCCTAGCCTTCTCGAACAAGGGCAAAAAATCTCGAAGGGCCCGTTCGCAAGTAGCGCACGTAAAAGATCCCTTGGCAGTCTAAAATCTATAAGGGTAGGCTTCGGCCGCCACACGGGGAAAATTCAAAATTTCTTACCAACTGACATAATCTAATGTGTCCTGCGCGCTCATACGACCTGATGCAGTTGCGAGTGCCGTTAAACACTTAAAAGAAAAGAAAAACTACTGTGAGCAAAAATTGTTTAAAAGGTGCTTCTATTTGAGAGACGCAACAAAGCGCGTTTTTCGGAAGCCTTTAGTGGCGCCTACATTACCGGGCCTAGATTACTTGGAGAGGAGGGTAAAAGAGAGAACCATCTTGCAATATACAATCTTAGATCTTATTTTTTAGTCATTTAACTCAGCATCATTGTGCTCAATATCAATGAAGATGATTAAAAGATTTACACTGCAAGACAGCTATCTTTGAGATACACACAAAACTTCCTTACTGGCAAAAGTTGCTATTTGGGTTTTTAGTCCAACTGCTAATCGTTCATTTCCTTGGGATATGTATAGTACATTGTATACAAAGAGTAAGAGCCAAAACACATGAATTGCAAGGTATAACAGTATAGCTTGTTTACACATAAATCGGGACAAAAACAAATCCCTCCGTGTGATCTACTCATGTCTTTACATGTTAGTCTGACTTTTGGATGATCAACAGAATCTAAAGACCCATTAATGAAGGCTACTGCAAACTAAGGTTCAGACACGTTTTCTTTGATGTCAGTTTAAAGGGGGGTAAAAAGAATAATAGGGGATTTACATCATGCACCTAAATCATTAAAAAGCTAGCTTATTGTCATCTACACCACGCTTTAACGCACACTTATGAAACAATGTCAAACAAACGGACCTTCGAGGCTCACTTGATATCATTATCTAAACAGCCCCCGAAAGGGAGGAAGGGATGGTTGCTGGGGATTATGTGCATGCACTGAAATGTGAGGGCAGCGTGGTGTCACTGTCTCAAAATGAGCAATTTACACTTGTAGGCTTGGTTACTGTAAATTATTCATTGGAGTGATTCTGTGTCTGCTCGAAAAGGACAGTGCGCAATGTCGGGCCCAAATCAGAAACATTTTATTACTTCATCAAGAATTCAAAATATGTAGTTTTGTTTGGTAGCCAACCCAAAGGAATGCTAAGCAAAGTTGCGTGCGCATTGGCAAATTGATAAATGAACTGGAATGTTTTGGAGCTTTTTTAAACGCGGACAGACGAAAGCAAACAAGCAGTAACAGTACTCCCTATTTCTCTGACAGCGTTGGCAGCGGCCCACAATGTGCTTATGGCTGAAGCAGCTGTCATTTTTTTTTCACTTCTTTTTTTTTTTTGTTTTTTTTTTTTGTGTGTCGCATTCATATTATGACATATTCGCACTAAAGAAAGGAATCGGCTATACACTGGTTAGGCAGTATTATTCGTTCGGATCTGATAAGAATTATAATTAACGTGGCATTAATTACTGCTCACTGATATCGAAAGCTTGTCGTGGATCTAGAACAAGGTGAGGTTGTGGTTGAGGGGACGGGAGAAGAGAGACAGGGTGGGTGTGTAAAGGGGAGGGGGAGGGAAGGAGACTGAGGAAGGGAGAGAGAGGGGGAGAGAAAGAGAGAGGGACATAGACAAATCCATATAGAGAGTGAGAGAGATGGAGAAAGAGACAAACATAGAGACAGACAGTAAGACGGAGACAGAAAGGGGAAGGGGGCCGTGGGGGTTTTAAACTGTTCAGGGTAGATAAGCAGGATATTGATTTGTGTACCAAATGATATGAAATGGTTATGTCCCTTCGTTCTGAGCTTACGTTCATTTGATTTTGATTTTTTTTAAATACGAGGAGTGGCGGCGGGTTGTGCTTGTGTATAATTATGTGGGGGGAGGGGCAGTGGACTTCCTTTGAAAGCTTTTCCAACTTTTCTGGAGTGGTGTCAGCTCGTTTTGACAAGGAAATACTGGACTCTAAGACAGGGGACTGGGGTTTGAATGCGTCTCAGAGTCATAGCTATCCGAACAACTTTAGACCTCTCAGACTCGCTTAGGGGGCTCTCGTGGCCTAGAGGTTAAGGTGTTGGCCTCTCATTCAAAGGTCCCGGGTTCGAATCCGGGTAGCGACCAAAAATTTTTCTTCTCTAAAATTGTCTCCTTTCACCTCCTTTCCTGCTCTCTAGCAATGTTCTGTTGTCTGCTTTCATTTCCACTTTCTGTCCCCACCCCCTCCTTTGCCCCCTCCTCTGGGCTCCTGACTCTTTCTGCAGCCTTTCTACTGCTACTCCTTGGCTCCTCCTTACTGCTGTCTTTCTGCCACACCCCTGATCTTCTGGTAGGAAAGGTCTACACCTAGCCTTCTCGGACAAGGGCGAAAAATCTCGGAGGGCCCGTGTGCAAGTTGCGCACGTTAAAGATCCCTTGGTGGTCTAAAATCGATAAGAGTAGGCTTCGGCCGTAAAACACTTTACAAAAACAAAACATGACTCGCTTAATACAGAATGAAAAAAGCAGCCCAGAGCACTTTGTACCGCAAGGCTCGTAAAACTAACATTGAAATCCAATGTGAGTTATAATCATTTATTGAATGAGTCGCCTCTCAGTTAGTTGTAGTCAAGTAGTTTAAAGAAAACATGAAAACAGTCTTCTTCGATATTGAACTCCACTACGTTTGAAGCGTTTCTAGGCGTTAATCTTTTACGGGTTTATAATTTCTGACGTTTCAACTTGAGCATTTCAGGTACAAAACTGTTCAAAAGTTACGACTAGAAGCGGAAAAAAGAAAGGCGGTGTTTTATGACTGTAACGATAAATATTTTACAAACCCATCGACACAGTATAAATCATATAGGAGCCTGGCTGCTCCTAAGCTGACTGTCAGGACTAAGCCGGGATAAGAGCAAAAATAAATCCCAGCGGATAGACGGAGATACTCAAAATTCAAAAAACAAAATCCCAGCACGGGAATCGTAGCAACGTATTCTTAGTGGGGATGTAAAGCATTTACCACTGCATGACAGACAGACGGCACCTGACGTTTTGCCCCCATCGAGGAAAAAAACACAATAAAATAACAATGACGCGAAGAATCAGGGACAACATCGATATTAACATTCCTAATGTACGCGTTTGACTCCTCTGGTAACCTGGGAAGGCAACCAAGAGATGGAATGTTGGAATTTAAACGTCATTCTCCGATTGGACCGAGTCCAGTAGCTGGAGAGAATTGAAACTGAAAAGCTTAACTTGAGTTAAAGAATGTCCCTCTATGGGTATTCAAACTAGGGATCATTAGCATCGCAGTTCTACAATGAATGTCATCAGCTGAGGAGACGACCCAGAACAGACAATGTGGAAAATGTAAAGAAAAACAAAAATTTACTCACTTTTCAATGTTCTCTGGATTTGCAAAGCTTTTCCGTCTCACTTTTCCTGGGTTCTCTGCGGAGTCATTCTGAGGAAGAAAATGTTTCAAAATGAAGATACACCGCTTTTAAAAGATGGTGAATGAAAATCGTGCCTTTTTTTTCTTTTCTTTTCTGGGAATTAATGCTTCGTCGTATATATGCACATCCTCATATTCATCCTCTTTTTCATTCATTTTACACTTCTCTTTTCTCCTCCTTCTCATCCTCCATCTACTACTACTCCCCCTCCTCGTTTCTTCTTCTCCTTCTTCTTCCTCTTCTTCTTCCTCTTCTTCTTCTTCCTCTTCTTCTTCTTCTTCTTCTTCTTCTTCTTCTTCTTCTTC